AAGGGGGAGGGAATGGGAAGGGGAGGGAATAGGAGGGGGGGGAAAGGAAGGGGGAGGGAAAAGGGAGGGGGGATGCACAAAGGAGGGAGGGAAAAGGGGAGGCCCATGCACAACAATGAACACCCACAACACAACAAATCTGCCCACCCACGAATGCTGTACACCACACCAAATGAGCCCCACCATCCACAAATGCCTACCCATGACAACAAAGACCCATGAGCACAACATGCACATGACAACACAACACACACATGACAACGTGCAGGTGACAATGTGAAGACGATGAACAGAAATGGGCAATGATGAGCCCAGGTGAGCTCCCCCTCCCTCCATCATTCCACACCACCCCTCCATCATTGCCTCCCTCTATCGCTCCCCCTCCCATCCCTTCATTGCTCCCCCTCCCATTGCTCCCTCACATCCATTCCCACCTCTCCCTTCATCACTCCATCCCCCCTCCATCACTCCCTGCCTCTCCCTTCCCCCCTCACTCTCTACTCCACCCTCCCTTCCCCCCTCCCTTAACTATTGAAGTAGTATGCATTTGTAATATCAAGGATGAGGTAGTGAGTACGTGATGAGCTATCTAAATACCTAAGGGAAGGATACCAAGGCAACCAAGGAAGAACAATAAGTACAATAAGGATGGGAGGAGACAAGGAACAAGGAATCACAAGGTAACAAGACAATGAAGGGTTGGGTTGGAGAAACACGGCATGATGGTGAAGGGTTCGTCTCGGGGATGTCTTGGCATAGGGCATGGGTGTGGGATGGTTTGTGACATATATAAGCAATCATGATGAAAACTCAAAATTCAATGGTACATATGTGCATATTTTACAATCAAGCTCATCTAGTACTGCTCAACTTCATGTGTTTGATGAGACTACCATCTGGCTATGAACAAAAAAGACAAGAGTTCAATTAAAACATAAGTCACCAGGTGAGATAGAGAGGAAGGAAATAGGATTTCCTCCAGGATGCCCTCACAGATTTTTGGGGCTGTAAGTCTGTTTGACAAACAAAAAACAAAAAATTGATCCAAGATGTTCTTCACAATGGTGGGGATGTGCCATGTCCTGCATATGGATAAAAAAGGAAATTTGCCTTATTTGGTAAGGCATAGTAAGATTCTTTTCCTCCACTAGGACCATTCTACTATATAAGGAGATAAGCTGACAAATAATCTCCTTATATGGTTACCTCCTTGCCTCTGTCCTTCACTGTATAACACTCTGCATGTCCCTTACTCTGGGTGTGTCCATTTCAAAATATGAAAATATGAAAAGCAGGAATTCAACTTTTTGCTAATAAAACTGCCTTATTTGTGCTCATTCTAATTACTACCTCAATTGTTATTAGCTTTCAGTAAAAAATAGCCATGTAGCCTAGTATACTTCCCCCATGTCCCTCCCTCTGGCTGTGTCTTGTTCAAAATGTGAGAATAAGCTATTCAACTTTCTGTTGATAACACCATCCCTGTTGTTATTCTTCTATTTTTAGATGCCTTGAAAAATTGTCATGACCTCCCAGAAAACACCAAGACAATTCCTCCATCATTGTGAATGCTTTCAAAGGCATCACAAACAAAAAGAGATCATCCTTTTTGATTTCCCTCTGAAGCCCTAATTTTCCTGGCCACTATTGTAAGCCACCTGTCCAACCAAGGAATCAACCAAAGACTTACAAAAACATGTGTAGAGCCCCTGCACCCCAAACTTCTCTTCCCAAGACATGTCTGAATACCACCAAGGATGCCAGAGGAAAGAAGGCAGCTAAATTCACCAGCACTGATGGTTTTTACAACTGCTGGTGATAAGTTGTTTTCTGTGGTTGTGAATGGTCTTATTTTGTGTCTATCAATCTCACTGATGAATTACTCAGTGGTGCAGTTGATGCTGCAATGGTGGCAATCTTGTACTTTGTACAATCTGCAAAATTAATGTGATGATGCACCTGCATCACAGTGGATGTGTCAGCAAAATTCGAAACACAAAACAAAACAAAAACAAAAGCTTTGGAATGGAATGATGTTGCTTTGAGTGGCTCTGAAAGTGCAAGACAGAGGTTCCCTTGTGTTCTCAAAGTATGAGATGTAGAGTAGATACAACTCCTAATAAAAGAGAATGTGTCCAGAGGAGAGTGTGAAGTGGGAGAGTGATTGGGGACATTTGTGAAAGTAATAAGTTTCAGAGATGTGATGATGTGAATGATATGAGTGCACACGGCATGCAAGACAATAGTGAATGTTACGATGAAGCCTTGAACCGATGATCAGCTGAAGAAAAGATACAAATTGTGGATTGGAGTAGAAGTTGTATTTTTCTTTTGAAGTACAGGATTTTTGTACAGAAAAAACTACAAATAAGTCAAATGTTTGTGAAATTGAATAAAGTCGCAGGGAGCATGTGTGTTGTGAAGCTGCAGGATATTTGCATAGTTGTGAAAATATGTGGAGTGCCAAATTCATGTGTGTAGAACAAGCACATGCTTATCAGTGATCTGCTCAGTCTGCATCAAGTTTGGAATCAATGATGGTATGTATAATTTCCAATGCCCTACCTGCTTTCTGAAAGAGAGTAAAGACATCCCCTATGTATGTTTTTCCTTTAATCTCCTTCTCACTAATATTTATGTGCACCTAGCCATGGAAATTTCAATCCTGTGGTCCTTGTAGGAAAAACTGGCCAAAGATCAACACATCTCCCTTGGCCATCATTTCTATCCACCTCCAGGGATGATGGACTCACCATTGATCCTCACCTATCATCATTTGGCCCCTTGGCTTCATGGTAATCTTGTACTTGTTGACTTGATGTTCAATTTTGATGATCCAAGAAATAGATTTACCTCCCAAATGGACTGTATGCTCCAGGAGTTTGAAGATGGTAGGTTCAAAGAGTAGGTTATGTTTAACCTTATTTTTATGCACCTCAGATTCCATAAATATCACATGCCAGTAGTTGAAAGTTGGCCACACAGTGCCAGAGGGAATGTAGCTCTTGCACACATGGTAAAACAGTGGTACCTTATGCAACTAACACAGGAGGTGAGTGCAATTCCCAAGTTGCCATCATGGTGCAATGTGCAAATGCTAACCTTGACTTCTGGCCAGGGTACCAACTTTATTCACTTTTGTATCCTCCACACGCACTTTGCTAGCCAGCAGGCCATTGAGGAGATGGAAGTGCATAACCACCACCTGCCACATGAGCTGCCTTGCGCAGGAACATCTCTCCATGCTCAACACTTTGCACCTAATATTTACTCTGAAAGAGGAGTTGGAAAGCCAATCTTTGGATGATATGCACTCCTGAATATAATACATACTCAGAGGTACAACCAATCTTCAACTGCCATCCAATTTTCAATAAATATATATATATAGGTAGCTGGACCTCATTTATGGTCTCACCATCAAAGATGTACTTCTGAAGCAAAAGCTGAGATGTGATTCAACTACTATACAAATACAACTTGAAATTTACCAAAGCTACAACTCATCATGGTCATGGTACAACTCCTCAAAATGGTTGGTTGGAAAAGATCCATGGCAGTCAAATTGAAAGAGCTGATCTTCAGTGATAGAAATCAGCAGCATAAGAAATAGCTCCCTTATCTTGCTCTCATCCAAAAACTCCGCAGTTCTAAAAAGATCACAATGTCGTGTTGAAAAAAAGAAAAGGAAAAAGAACATGTTGTACCAATCAACCCTTCTTGACTTCCCTTTCCTCACTACCAGCACCTGGGTATAGCATGGCACAAAGATTTTACGAAATGGTAAGTTTCTTTGTCCTTCAATGTGAGATTATCCTTGACAACACATGCATTGTAGAAAATAGATTCACAAACAAGCCTCATGGTTTGGGATCCTAAAGGCAAGGCAGTCACCATTAAGCTGGCACTGCATGTAAGCAACCTATTATCTCTTAGCTAACAATATAACCTAGTAACGATGACATTCAGCATAAAAGTGATCTCAACAGTCTTCATTTATTATTTGAATCAGTGCATTTAATCAAAGGATGACCCCTCCATGTTGAAAGACCTGCAGAATCAGTTTTCAAGATTTTCACAGAGGATGAATTTCTGAGCATGCCCAGCGAACATGTTCAGAGATTCATCAGATCACACAACATTGTCCTGAAGACTGCGAGGTGGATGGTATAAATTTTGATGCCCAGGGCCTAGGTACTTTGAAAAGAACTGGGGCCATCATTGAGCTGCAAGGCAAGCATATTTTTAGCATAACACATTCAATAACTGAACTCCTATGCAATGCAGACCAGTCAAGCAAAGCATCTGCAAATTTACAGTCTCAGGTAAAGAAGGGGACACTGAGCATGATGCTTCAGGAAGCAACATCAGTCAATGGTTGAATTTTAAATGCTTTGGACTCCCCCATGCCTCATACTGGTGTCAACTGGAAGTCCAGCTTTGCATCTTATTGGGCAGCCTGGTCTTTGACAGAAGGCTGCTGTATGTGCCAGCAGGATGATTCTTTCCTATCATCTGACCTGTACATGTACCTCAGCCCTGGTACACGACTGTAGGAGTTGTCAATCTCACCCATCTTCCTCTAAACTTATAGCACCAGAGAACACAATGTGTTATGGAAGTCACTACTATTTGACATCTAACCTGCAGGACACACTCTTCAGTATCATTCACTGCTTCGTAGCAAACCATCTGATAACGAACACTGATCATGCTCCTTCACATTGTCTGCTGCAACACCTGATGGTGTATTTCTTTGAAGCACTTGTGTGAGAATCGCATTTACCATCTGGTATGTTTTCATTGGTGTCAAGTCTGAGCTCAATGCTCATCCTTTTTCTCAGAGATTGACTGGGCCACATCCCAGATCTTACAAAGTTCCAATCATTGGTTGACCTTCTTTCCCTGTGCATCATAATTATCCTCCAAAATGTCCTCAACCCAGAGACCTATATAGCTGATGACGCCCATGAGGAAGAACATACCTCCATTTGTTACATGGTATGGGACTTGATCTCAATGCCCAGTGAAGAATGATTTCGAGTTATCCACACACGAGGAATGGCTTACCTCATGGTTGAATGACTGGACAATAATTATCTTGTCATGAGTCCTGAGGATGAAGAATTAAGTATCATGGATGATGTCTTTTACCCTTATTTGGCAAGGGTCATCATTTGTTTACAGAAATCAAAAAGGGCAGCAGATGGCAATTAAGTCTTGGGCTTACACAACTGCTCCTTCAAGGATGTGCATCATCAGCTTTCCCTCACATTTTATGGAAGCCATGAAGTTTCAACAGCCTTGGAGGAGAGCGAAATCAATGACATTGATAGTATTGCCTTTGAGGAGCAGAAGACATACAGAATTTTTTCTGCAGGAGGAACAGGGAAAGCACAAATAGGTAAGTCTAAATAACCTTCAAATTATGAGCTGGTTGATCTTAAAACAGCAAGTAGAAGACAACTGGAACACATTTGTTTAGCAGCAGAAACTTATCAATTATTCTGTTTTCCTCATTGATACACACCTTTTCACTTGTTTCAATTGGTAGGCTACCTATCTGGCATGGCCCAAGGTTGACCTATTATTTGAATAACTCAATCATTACATTATTATTTGCAGTGGTGCATAGTGATTCTTCAAGGGAGGCTGCAACTCTGAAGCATGTGGGTATCAGCCATCTAATTTGAGATATACCAATCAACCTATAACTCCAACCACACATCACTTCCATATTCATATAAGCAGTACTTATCAGTCCCCCACAGAGTCCTGCAGGACTCACAGGATTCCTGGGGATTCCTGGGGATTCCTGAGGATTCCTCAGGACTACACTATAATTTTGGTGATTTTGTGTTGGAGGAGAAAAATTCTGTCAAGTCCTCAGGAATCCTGAGGACTACATGTCATTTAAACCATAAGTTAATGCTAAGAATGCCTCATGATAGGTAAATTTTATTGGTGAAAAATAAGATGTATTGAATGTAATTAATTAAGTATATTTACTACAATTTAACTTTAAAGGGAGGGGGGAGGAGTGATGAAAAGTGATGAAGGGATGCTGGTGGGGAGTGAGAAGGGAGGGGAGGGGAGTGATGGAGGGGGAAGGGAGTGTGGAGAGGGAGAGGGAGTGTGGAGAGGGGGAAGGGAGTGTGGAGAGGGGGAAGGGAGTGTGGAGAGGGGGAAGGGAGTGTGGAGAGGGAGAGGGAAGGGAATGATAGAGGGGGGAGGATGGAAGGGAGGGAGTGGGTGATGGAGGAGCAATGGAGGGAGGGGGAATGAAAAGAGGGGGAGAGCTCACTTACCTGGGCTCCTTGTCGCCCGTTTCCATTCATGGGGGCTGGCTGTTGTCTGTGGGTGGCGCAAAGTCGTCTGGGGGGCAACCGCCATTTGTCGACGGTGGGTGCTCATGAAAAGTGGTGGGCACTGGTCGCCGTTTGTCATTTGTGGGTGCTGGGTGCTTGTCCGTGGGCACTGGTTGTTTGTTTGTGGGCGGTGGGTNTCGTTCGTCGCCCGTTGTCTGGGCAGTTGTCTGTTGGATAGCCATATCAGACCGGCAACTCCGACACGCCAATGCAGTGCGCGCTGTCGTGCACACTCAACCTATCTAGGACTAAGTAGTATATTGTAGAGTATTCTAGTAGTTACATATTGTAGTCTATAAGGAGGGCTCGAGAGCCCCCAATTCATTATCCTTCTTGCTTTATACTCCCTCGTATTAGCTGCTCCAACAGGTTATGGGCCCCGAAGCCTAAACACACTACAAACTACTATACAACCTTATCACACCCTTAGAAGGGTCTACTGGAAGCCCAAGGGCCATTAGTTTCCAGTTAACTAACCTAACTTTCAAACACTATCAGTGCCCCCCTAATTCCTGCGGGAATCCGGTCATTCCTGCGGATTCCAATGGATTCCAGAGGAATGAAATTTGGCAGGGAGGCCTGCTATTTTCATCATTCTGGTGCCTTACCATTCTGGTGGAATTTGGGCATTTCGGAATTGACACCGGAATGTTCTGCAGGATTGACAGGAACGGAATGCAATGGAATCCGTTCATTTGTTTGTTTATTTTACTTCTGTTACCAAACAAAGACAACACTACCAAACAAATGCAACACTCTTTCCTTTCCACCCACCAACCATCCTCTTCCCCACCTCCATTCCCTCCCACCAACCATGTTGACAACAGTGACAACCATGACGACACCACATGACCCAACAATGGCCACAACTCGCCAGCAACAAATGGTAATGACCACCGCCAGCAACATGGCACCACCACCATCCATGAGCACCCACCACCACAATGACGTGGCACCACCACTCATGTGTCGTGTCGCCATAATAGAGAAAACACTATGAAAACTTAAAAGAAGTCACCTCAGCTGTGCCACACACGACTGAGCCACTTCAAACCTTTACTAAAAATCAGTATTAATCCGTCTGACCTCTCGGACAATGCACGGATGTGTAAATATAAATAGAAAACATAGAATAGTATAAAAGAAGGATGTGCGCAGGCTGAAACACAAGGAATTATAGTGTTTGGAAGTCTGGTCTCGTGACTGGAAAAAGACCGTAACCAGACCGGACCAAGACCGCAAAAGACCGGACCTGCGGTTATGGTCTTTTATTTTTGAGATGTAAAGACCGCAAAAAAACCGGTTAACGTGAACCGGTCTTGACCAGTTTGGACCGGTCTTTTGTAGCCCCTTAAATACCCTTTAACACGCACCCAAGAACGTACGATTTGGTAAAAAAAACGAGAGAGATATGAATTAAAATGTAAATTACTTTTGGGAATAATAGATGTACCAGACTTATTTTATAGAAGCACCAATTCCTAACGGAATTTGACGTTCTTGGGCTCATTTTAAAGCTAATAGAGATGTTAATAAATTTACCGATTCATAACTTTAAAATATTAGCCTAAAGACCGGTCATAAACCGGTTAAAACGGATGCAGACCGAAACCGGACTATAGACTGCAAAAAGACCGCAGACCGCGGTTTTTTGCGGTCCGGTCTGGTCTTTTGACTTCTGGGGAAAAGGCAGACCGGTTACGGTTACGGTTAATGCCCCTGGGCATCAAAAAACCGGACCGAACTGGACTTTCAAACACTAAGGAATTATCCCCTCTGTTGACCAGCTGTCACACTCCCAGTAGCATCTGAGGTAGTGGATAAGTTTGTAATCAATTTAAAGGACTTTTCTTCACAGACATAAGTAATGTGTGCCAAGAACCAGCATGTTAAGTGGGGATCACTGAGCTTTTTGAAGTTAGTAAGAGAGCTCTTTACTACTACTGAGGAATCCAAGTGAGCATGCTTGAAGAGTCTTTAAGACTAGTTTAGATTGAATCAGAGGCATAATAAAAGCTCAAGGGAGTTACAAAAGTCTACAAAGCACTGTTTCCTTGTCATTTCTTCATATACAGTTAGAACACAATCCCAGAACACTGAGATAGTCCCCATAAAAGCTGTTTCCCCTTGAAGACTATCAAGTTTCGAATTTTATACTTGTGCCTGCATGCAAAAACAATACCATTTGTTCCAAAAGGTCTACTAGACTCAGACAAGTGATATAAAATATACAGAATCATTTCCCCAAACTTCTACTTTAAGTTCTAACAAAACAAGTGTGGTAATTCCATTTACCATATGAACCCAAACTCGAAGTACCAAGCATGTACCTGTGGTGATAAGTGTTTAAGGCGTTAGCATGTGTGTGTGTTGTTTAGGTGTTCATGCATCTTGTCAGCATGTCCAATTGCACTTTCCTCACTCCTGCGTGTCATGGTCTTCTCATCTGGAGCCCACTGCAAGGGTTTTCTTTTGTTTTCTTTTTCAATTAAAACTTCAAAAAAAAAGCTGTTTGAATCAACCGAAGACCATAAAACCAAGTCTAGTTTCTGATACCAAGAACTAGCACCAAAAGTCATTTACAATGGCAGCCATAAAAGTTAGAGAAACAGCCACATCTAAACTAAGATTCACCTACCATGAAATAGAGCACAAAGAGGTTCTAGAGTAAACACCCAACACAGGGAGAAGAATTGCATTACTACCAAAGGGTTTAGAAACACATAATGGATTTATTGTGGAAACTCGTGCTTATACAAGAACTACAGAAAAGACTACATAGACACTTAAATGGCATGTCTGAAACATTGAAAGACTAAACTACACCTAAGTAATAAATGTACGAAGACTTAGCATGGCTTGCAGCCATTCAGAAAGACATGTATGGTGATTCCTGCATACACATCAAAGACTGATGCGTCTGAATGTCACAAGTACAAACATAAGAGAAAGACACATTCTATTATATGAAATATAATAAGAACCCCCTGACAATTAAGAAAAAGACATTTGAAAACACCTTCAGAGTGTCTCCCGACCTCCGTAATGAAAAGATGAGCCAAGACAAGGCATTTTAATTAAAAACTCGGAAACGATGGGAGACCAAAGACTATTGGTAAATGTGTATGCATGCGCATCAACGCATCAGGAAACATTAATAATTTTGTGATGTCATCTGTCAAACCGGTAAACCGGGCCATAGAAAGAAACACGCGAGATCATGCCAAGCTAAGAATAGCTACGTTGGCTAACTCTGCATACACATCAAACACTGATGTGTTTGAAAATGAAAGACACAACACTACAAAATATACCACACGTTCTTTAAAAATTCATATTTGTAATTCAGACTGAAGTATCCCACATTAAAACACATGTAAAAGGTAGATACGGGTTCCTGGAGTATATAAGGAGCGCGCTGGCAGGTCAAAAGGCAAGCAATCGCCCCCCCATTGACCGAGGTCTTAGCAGTGCCCCCCCTATTCCTGCAGGAATCCGGTGGAATGGAATTTAGCAGAAGGCCCTGCTAAATTGTTTATTCCAGTGTTTTCCATTCCAGTGGAATTCCGGTGGATTCCGGAATGTACACCGGAATGTTCCCCGGAATGGTCTTCCCCGGAATGGGCAGGAATGGTGTTCCCCGGAGTGGGCAGGAATGGGATTCCAGTCCAATCTGTTTATTTTATTTATTTATTACTGTATTATAGTTTATTTATTTTCAATGGATCACAAACAATGTTTGTTTAGTGAACATGCTCACCAAACATGGCCACTCTCTTCTTCCACCACCACCACCATGCTCGTCACCGCCACCAACGCCACGCCATCACCGTCACCCATAGCCACCACCGCCAACATCGCTCCTCGATCATCCATGGCCGCCACGACCACCAACATCAACCACAACACCCTTCAACAACAACGCGGCGACGCCATGTCACGAAACAACGAGCGCCGTAACCCACGAAAACACCCAACACCCACGAAAACAATGCCCCCAGACACAAAACGACACCCGACGGGCACAAAACGACGCCCACCGCCCATGTACACGAGGTCTTATCAGTGCCCCCCTAATTCCTGCAGGAATCCGGTCATTCCTGCGGATTCCGGTGGATTCCGGAGGAAGGAAATTTGGCAGGGAGGCCTGCCATTTTCATCATTCCGGTGCCTTACCAATCCAGCGGAATTTGGGCATTCCAGAATTGACACCGGAATGATCCGCGGAATGCACAGGAATGGAATGCAACGGAATCCGGTCCTTTGTTTGTTTATTTTACTTGTGTTACCAAACAAAGGCAATGTTACCAAACAAATGCAACACCATTCCTTTCCACCACCACCACCCATCCTCTTCCCCACCCCCACGACAGTCACGATAAACCGACGACGCCACGCCACCCACGACGACGACGACAACCCCACATGACCCCACAACGGCGACGACCACCAAGCGACGAACAGTGACAACCACCGCCAGTGACGTGGCAACCAAACGGACGACAACAACAACACCACCGCTATGCACGAGCACCCACCACCATCCAGACGGCATCCACCACCATCCACGAGTGCCCACCACGACAACCACGTGAACGCTGCAACGCCACGTCACAAATCAAACAAGCCCCCCACGGCACGATGGCAACGATGCCCACGACAACAACGACGTCCATGGCTACGACAACGACACGCGACAACGACAACGCGACAACGACAACATGACAACGACCACGCGACAACGACCACGCGACAACGACAATGCGACGACGTCCACGCGACAACGTCCACAACTACGACGACGGCACACGACGACGTCCACGCAACGACGACACCGCGACGACGACCACACGACGATGACAACGCGACGACGACCACGCGACGACACAGGATGACGACGTCGATGGACGACGAGGCCCAGCACTACCCCCTTCCCCTTCCTTCCTCCCTCCCTTCCTTCCTCCCTCCCTTCCTTCCTTCCTGCCTCCCTCCCTTCCTCCCTCCCTTCCTTCCTCCCTCCCTCCCTTCCTTCCTCCCTCCCTCCCTTCCCTCCCTCCCTTCCTTCCTCCCTTCCTTCCTTCCTTCCTCCCTCCCTCCCTTCCTTCCTCCCTTCCTTCTTCCTTCCCTTTCTTCCTCCCTCCCTTCCTTCCCTTTCTTCCTCCCTCCCTTCCTTCCCTCCCTTCCTTCCTTCCTCTCCCCCTCCACCCTTCTCTTCCTGCCCCTTCATTTAACTTAGAAAATAGTAAATTAGATGTATATTTGAGTTTCAATATATAAAATTTGAAATATATAAATGTTATAAGAAAGTATTCATGCCCTTTAAGTCAGTGTGAATAAGTGCATATGAGTGTAAATGTATCTAGCAAAAAGGAAAGGTGTTGTATGGGTCATATTCTGGTCCCATTCCTGTGGATTCCTGCAGATTCCGGTGCCATTCCTCCGGATTCCTGCAGATTCCTGCAGATTCCTGTGGATTCCTGCAGGAATGGGTGGGGCACTGTAAAGTACTGATGTACACCGCCAGCGCCCACGAAAACCATACCCCGCCCACGAAAACATCCCACCACCCACCGAAAAACACACGCCGCCCACTGAAAAACACGCACCGCCCACCAAAAAACACGCACCGCCCACACGACATACGACGGCACCACGCCGCCTACCAAAACCACCACGTCCACACCAACGCCACCCACGACGACGCCCCCAACGGCAACCAGCGCCCACGATGACAGCGATGACAACGTCATGAATAAAGCAACAACGCAGACACACGACGAAAACGCGAACACGCGACGAGGAGGCGACAACGAAATGCAACACAACGATGGGATGCCAACGCGGGCCGACGATGGCCGAGGTCCCAGCCACGCTCCCTCTCCCCTCCACCATTCACTCCCTCCCTGCCTCCTTCCCCCTTTCCTTGTCCCTCCCCCTTGCTCCACCCATTCCTTCCC